AACAAACCAACCACAAACTTAAGAGGAAGACAAGGGTACAGCCCCAGGTCACTTTGCCCATAGTTGGAATCCAAAGCAGGTCCTGAGCTCCCCTGGAATCACCTCTGGTGGAGCAAAGCCAGCTCTGCCTCCTGCTCCTGGCTTCTTTCAGGGCTTCAGCTGATTCATGATGATAATGACAATGTCAACATTTTTAAATTATTGGTTTTGTTGACCCTCCTAATAATTTCCTTTCTGAGAGGTCACATCTGGGACAATTCCCCTTTTATTTAGACATGCCCTGATGGGGACAAAAACTACCAGCTTTGCCTGACCAGTTCTTTATGCAGTGTCTCCCAGGGACCATGAACTGTAAGGGGGAGTTAGTTGGTCTTTGGAGAAAGCTCCTTGGGGCAAATCCCTGAAGTCTGGCCCCTCATCCTACAAGAAGCAAGCTGGTGCCCCTGAGAAATTCCCCATTGCTCAAACCCAAGGGATGATCATGCCTGGCATGGCCAGCAGCCTCCTCATGCTCAGCACGATGAAGCTCAGCCAGGCTCGGCGGGGCTGCCTTCAGCTTCCCACGGGCTCCTGATGCCATCACAGAGCTCTGGATCAGGCAGAGGACTTTGCTCTCCTTTCCCAGCTAAGTCCTCTGCTCTCCCTGGCCAGCCTGCAGCAGGGGCTCAGAGCAGAGCAATCAGCTAAATGCTTTATCCCTCTGCAGACAGTCACGCCAAGGGGGGGGGGGGAAAAGAAATAAAAATAGAGCCTGACAGGATCCTTTTGCTGGCCTGTTGCCTTAAAGCCTCTCACCTCTCCCTGTCTTTCATCAGGGTTATAAACTCCTTAGGATGTCATCACGTGCTCCATAGATAACAGATATATAAGCTGGGGCTGCAAAAGGAGCAGCAGAGGGAGAGGAAGGGAGGAAAATCCCCTGGTCCTGCTCTCCTGCCGGGCAGCAGCGCCGGAGACAGCCGAGCGACGTGAGGGCCTGTCTGGTAAGCACCCCCCATTCTGCTCCATCCCAGCCTTGGGGACAGCCAGTGGTCCTGAGACCATCACAGTTTGCCAGCCCCAGTATCCCAGGATGGGGGGTTTTGCCCCAGAGGGGAGGGAGGTTGGTGATGGAGCTTAGCTTGCCTAAGAGACTGAGTCTCATCACAGCCCCTCTCCCATCCCTCCACATCCAACACGTGAAAACTTGGGTGTAGGAGGGATTCTTCTCATTGAAAAACCTCATGTTCAGGGTGTGGGAAGAATGTGAGCTCTTTTGGAAAGAATATTTGGCTTCATACCTGGGCAAATAACCCTTTACTACCAACTCATTTAAAAATGTAAGCTTCAAAACCAGGCAGACATTGATAATGTAATAAAAAGATGTCGTTGGGAGGTACTGCAGACTTGCCTGTTCATTTATATATGAGCATCTTTAGGGATCCTGCAGATGCTTTGATCTCTGGTGCACAATCTCTAGTGGGGGAAAAATTTACAGAATAAGCTTTTGGTACGTTGCTACGTACACACAAATGTATCAGGCTCATCTCAGGCAGGTCTAATAAGGTTCTAAAGCACAAAATTTAGCCTGAGATGTGAGTGACTTGAACAATATACAGGAGGCAGGGTTGGAACATAGAAAAGAGATGTCTTGAGCCAGGGAGAAAGGATTATCTTTCTCTGATTCTCACTTTGCCAGCTGGGGAAAGTTACCTTCACCTCTGCAGGTTGGATGCTTCCCAGGAGTAACTGCAGTGCTGGTGTCCCCACGGCTGTGCAGGGCCCAGGGTGGGCACTGGGGACAGGCTGTGGAGGGTGGCTGGCTCCCCTGTGCACTGCAGGCTGTCTGTATCCTCCCCCCCAGAAGAATTTTGCATCTGAGCTGAGAAGCAAAGCAAAAGGTTCATTTCTGGAAAAGAAGCACAAATATGTGAGGCCTCCAGCTGTATGACCTGGGTTTCCAGCAATAAAGTGCTGGAGGGGAAACAATACAAGGAAAACAAGCTAAGGAGCAGCCTTTCTCCATCACTGACTTCTGCTCCAGGCTGTTGCTGGTTGGGATCTCAATACATTTCTAAAAATAGCAGGAGAGATCTGATTTCCCCTTTCCCACTCAACTCTAAGGGGAACTGGGAAGCCACACAAGCAGGTCTTGAAGCCCAAGCAGCTCTGTGGATGTGCCTGTAGAGACTTTCCAGGGTTCAGTTCTTCACAGCTTTTGCTTGATCTGGGATAAAGACTTGCCTTCCGCCAGTGACCTGGCTAACAGTGGCTATTGCTGAGCAAACCTCTTGCTCTGTAATTCCCATGACAGGTGAGGCAACAACCCTGGACACTGTGCCCTGCCATCCATGAGCCTGATCCAGCAGCATCCCCAAAACCTGCCCCAGGCACCCAGCACCACCCAGGATCAAACTACCATTGCATTTTCTAGGTACCCAGAGCCTACCCTCTTGCCTGCTCTGGGATTTATCCAGGTGGATGAGCACCTAATCCAATTAACAGGATGAGGAGTTCCAGAAGATTTGATAACAAGCTCTACAAACTTTACAACCTCCCCCAGCACCGTGCTTTCCCACTCCTTTACTTCCTTCTTAGGTTGTTCCCAGGAGCATTAACCACCCATTCCCAGCACCATTTCAGTTACTCCTTGGTGACTAGAACCAGCACTGGGGATGCTAAATAATTCCCCCCTCTCCCTGATGGACCTGATCCCTTAGATACACACCCACTACCAAACCAGCAATTCATGGAAAATAAATCACAACACCCCCCTTTCTCACCTCAGACTAGATATAACTGGCCTCTCAAGTGCCCAGCCCTGGGCAATTCAGGATGGAAAATTCCCAGCTTGCGCTGGTTCTGCCCTGTGCAATGTTTGTGCTGCTAATGCTTTTGTTTCTATAAATCCTATTAGCTGGAGGCAAGCCTATAATTAGCTGGGAAAGCTGGCACCTCTTAGACAATAATCAAAAATGACCTGGCTTCACACTGGCTTTGCTGCAAATTGCTTGGATATTGGGCTGAGCAGGGACAGACGGATGGATGGCTCAGGGAGCCCTTCCCACTACTTCTGCCTGCGAGGGGCATGTGCTTAGCAAAATTATTTGCTCAGTTTGTGGTTCTCTCTAGATTAATTAAATTGGTTTGCTTGCACTTGACTCAGGAGGCAGATTGAAGCTACAGGCTCTGATCCAGGTCAAGGGATTTGGCTGGGCTGTGCAGGATGGGCACTGCTGGATGAACTCAGGGGACAATAACTCTCCCAGGGGAATTGAGGGGTCTGGGGTCCCACAGGTGGTAAGTGTCTGGTGGGATCCCACTGCCCAAAGCTCCTGGGACAGGTGGCAAAGCCTGAAGGCAGCTCACCTAGGTGGGATGCCTTGAAGCTACACCCTTGTCCTGCCATGGCCCCATCTCAGCTCTGTCTGTGAGCATGGATGTGACCTCAGAGCCCAAGAGGGGCCAAGCTGTGTCACTTACCTGCGGAGTGAGCTGGAAAAAGGAGTAAATCCTGTCAGCACAGGCTGTCTCTGGGAGGCAGCTCCAGCTGCCTGATGTGTGGGGCACCACGGGGTGTCTATGGTGGCTTGGCACTCTCCTGTACCACCACGCAGCACCGCATGGAGCTTTTGCCCAGAGCTGCTTATTTTGCAGCCTCTCAACTTCCCAAAGCCACATCCCACCTGCAGGTCCTCAAGGCAGGGGCTGGACTTGCCCCAGTGCTTTCCTGCCCGTGCTGCTGGGTGAGGAGATATGCAGGGGGCAGGACACTCAGCCCCATGCCTGCTCCAGCTCTGACAGCCCCTGTCCCTGCTCTGCCTCACTGCCTGGATGCTGCAGCTGGTCACTGGGCCACGAGGTTGCTGGAGCTGACAGCTGGGACCAGGCTCCTGCACTGCCCCCACCTCACAGTGACAGCAGAGCAACTGGGGTCATTGTGGGTGGGTATTTGAGAGAGAGAGAAATATGGTTATATATATATTTATGGTTATATATATATTTATGGTTATATATGTGTATATATATGGTTATAGACATATTTATGGTTATATATATATTTACTGTGTTATATATATATGGTTATATATATGGCTATATATATTTTTATGGTTATATATGCATATAGTTCTATATACATATTTATATACATATATATGGTTAGATATATGGTTCCAGGGAGCAGCTCTGCATCTCCAGAGCCAGCCCCCCACGACTCAGGGACCAGATCCTTGCTCTTGTCACTGACTCCAGGGCTGCATATAATATATATATATATACACATATACATGCATACACACACAGGTCTAGGAAAAGGGTGGCAAGCAGCCTAATCCTGTGCGTGACCAACAGGTATTTTCGGCAGCGAAGAGCACCGGGGGAGAGCGATCGGCTGCAGGAACACGGGGTCGTGAGGCTGCCGGGGCCGGCACAGACTGCCCCGGACCCAGCGGTGGGCAGGGCAGGGCAGGGGCAGGGGCAGGAACAGCAGCAACAGCATCAGGAGCATCAGGAGCAGGAGCAGCAGCATCAGGAGCAGGAGCAGCAGCATCAGGAGGATCAGGAACAGGAGCAGCAACCGC